CAAATCTTGGACATTAAATCATAGCGATTCAACATTTCAAAGTCAACCTATTTTTCATTAACAACGAAGAGAGGTTACTTAAATAATAATAAAACTTGAATTACAGCCCCTGGGTTGTCTGTCTCCCCCAACCAGTCCGGTTGCAGGAAATACTGTTGCAATCTCCCTGTCTCTTCCTGAGTTATGGAATTAATTAATGGCTCAAAAAGGTTTTTGCAGAACAATATTATGTCCCAGTGAATTTGACCTCTGACCTTTTGGATATAAAGTCGTGCACACATCATTATTTATTCAACTAGACATTTGTTTTTCTAAAGATTTGTCATAATTAGCACATTCATTCTAGAGTTATGGCTAAAAACTTTTTTCTCTTTTTCACAATGACCTTTGAGCTTATATTAACCAGTTCATCCTTGAGAATGTTTGTGCCAAATTTGAAGAAAATCACTTCAAGCCTTCGTCAGATAGGGTGTTCATGAGAAGGATGAAGCGAGGGCATACGGTCGGATGAACAACCCAAAAACTTGTTGCCTCTGGCCACAGCTGTCACCAGCACAGAGGCATGAAGAACTGATACAAACTCAGGGGACCTCAGGTAAGATCACAGTTTTTCACTTATCATCTGTGATTCTGACAACCCTGTTTGAAGACATGTCTGCAAACATCCATTTTCAAATTGGACTTGATGCGTAATGAGATTAATACTTAATTTTTGTGCCACCGTCTTCATTTAGGGCAGCTGTACTGTGAAAATAGGAAAGAGACCACAACATAAATAGTCGTCAGTCAGTTGAGGAAAGACTTAAAATTTAATAAGTATAAACGTGACATTCTCATAATGAGTTTCCTTCTTTCTCTCGCCAACCAAATGATGCCGTCGAAAACGAACACTGATGCTAAACAGTCAACACGTCGCCGCTGACGACAGATTTTAACATAGTTGTAAAATCAATAAAAGACACAAAGGAACGTCAACAGCAGGAAGTATATTGAGTATACTGAGGTAGATTGTAGCTCATAAATGAAATATGCCACCACTCTCTGAGAGAAAGAAATACATTGTGGCTAAATTACTGCACTATGGTTTATGATCAACCCTGCAGCTCTAGGCAATGCTGTTGCTGTTTTTCTTCCACACTGCACTCAACTGCAGCGGGAAGAGCATCTGCAGCATTTTAACCCTCTTAGCCCTCATCATGCACTGTAGCATTGCAAATTGGACCAAAACTTTTAGTTTAACCCGAACACTGTTGGGTTAATGTTAGAAACATAACTCTTCCCTCTAGTCCTGAACCAAACCACCATTTTGAAACCTTAAAAATATATCATAATAGAATTAAAAAAATTGTAACTAATGCCTGTTTCGAACCTGCCTGTTTGGACTGGGGTGACTTTTCAGAGACTGGGAAACTGTGCAATTGAACCAGAGCATGTAAAGACTAGTCCACAGAACAGTGAAGCTGCGCCACTACTTCTGTACAAAGAGCTTTTTTCACCTGTTTATTTAAAGTTCGGTGAAGCTGAAGCTGTTGTGATCAACAGTGTAATTTATGTTGATGAGTCCCACTTGTCATGGCAACAGAACACTGATCGCATGTTTATTCAAAGTTTATTAAAGTCAACGTATCACATGTCCAAAATGTATAAATTCAATTCTAAACGTTCTTGGGCCCTTAACAACTAACGGTTAAAGTGTTAAGCCAGTAAGATGAACTATTCTGTAGATATGTGTCCCATATACAGACAGACTGAGGTAACTTGAATTATTAGATAGGTTCACAAATGTCAGGTAACAATAAAAGCACGTTTTAATATCAGTAACATACCCCGTCACCAGGTAGAGCTTAAACCTAACACGACACAAGCATCATCTCAGACTGATAGAAAATACACAAAAACATACTTTGCACTATGTTGTACATATGGCCATTAGAAAGCCCTGAGGAAAATGAAGTCCCCAGCCGTCGCCTAAGGTTGTTTAACTCGATGACATTAAGAATTTATGAGCTTAAATATCCTTCCGGCGCGCTCCTCATGCATCTGCAACATGTCTTGAAAAGTATTGAGGAAGAACAAACAAGTTGCTTTGTTGAAACTCGCTTGTTTGTCAAAGACGTGATGGTGTTTTACACGAGATAGGAAAATATTTTCATCACAGCACCATCACATTCAGGGCATTTACCAAAGACTCTGCAGAGAGAGTGCGGCGCCATCATTCTGCTTTAAAACTGTATTTTCATTCTGGGTGCTGAGTAATTCTTCACTATTAGGGAAAATTATTTATTTTGTAATGTAGAATTACAAAAATAATCCTTTTCATATATTCTGTAGTGTGTTTTTTTCTACCTAAAATAAGCCAAGTGAAGCTGCAGCTATTGATCCTAGAGTGTTTATGAGACAGCTACAGGTTTGTACTGCATGAAAACATAAATACAATGGGTTAAATTAGTCAGCCATATTACACAACAATGACCTTATACTCCTTTCCACATACAGTTCAATCTGTCCTTATTGATTAACAATGATTGGATATGGCTCACAACTAATTCACTTCTTGGACAGCATATTAATGTGGTCAAACTGCCCACTTCCACTCCGATATAAAGAGGAAATTGATTTGCCGGCGTGTTTCATTGTTTCACGCCTGTTGATTTTCTTTTTTCAGTGGTGTGCAACAGTCTTTGGGTAAAGTGGGAAAAAGTGGACAGGCCTGAACAACAGGATCGAGCGGCTGCGGACGCTAGGTGTCACCCTTGTGACTTTAAAAACGGCCTGGCCCTGTCGGCAGGATGCGGTGGTGTGTGTGCGCGCTGGTAAGAGGGTGTGTGTGTGTGTGTGTGTGTGTGTGTGTGTGTGTGTGTGTGTGAGAAGAGTGAGATTACAGGGAGGATGCATGATGAGAGGCTCTAATACGCACAGGGCTACCAGAGGAACTTCACATCCTTTCACATCTCCTTTTATTTCCATTGGCACAGAGGCTTCTCTTACTTGTGTTGGCTGACATGTCACTGCGGTGAATTGTTCCCATCACAAGCTGCGTCGCTCTGAATTACACGGAGACAAGGGAGAAGAGACGCACTGAATAACATCTGCTAATTGATGGATTTGTTGCGTTTTCCTTATGATGATCAGCGACGGACTGGAGGTCACAGTCCACCCACCTCATTACGAACCTTCACAAACATAGACTGCAGCTGACAAACACACAGCACCTCATTGCACTGAAGGCTGTTTATTAATGCTCGTTTTATTAATTATTCCTCAACACCCTCCGCTTATTGGCTGGCGTCTGCTAGTGACGTACTCATCCAGAGATACTGATTGGTTGTGACCTTAAATACACTGAACTCAAACATGAAACCTTCTGTAGTCAAGGCGTTCTTAAGGATTATTTTGTGAAATTGCTCAGGAGGCTAAACCTTTGGGATTCTTCTTTTAGATTTTTTCCTGACAGCTTAAAAAAAATGTGGGTGATGATGTATTGATTTTGCCCATGTGAAGATTTCTGCCCAGCATGCTGCTACATGGAAACCATAATCTATGATGTTTGCAGGTTTGGGAATTCTCCCACCATGGGGTCTGATGTGGTCCAAGTTCACAACGCGCACATTAAAGGCCAGAGAGCCACGGTTTGTTATGATGCAACAGAATGCGCACAGTTGCAGCGAGTGAATGGAGCAACGGGCTCCATCAGATGGCTTTGAAAGGAGGCTGCGCGAGGTGCTGTTGGGTTTGATGCTAACCGCTTTGGCACAGAGGTTAAACCAAACTGTGCCACGCCACTGAGGATGAAACAGAACCATATAAGTCCGGAGATAACATCATGCAGGATCCCCGGTGAGGAGATGTTTGTGTCACCTGTTATATATAATTGGCCACTGCTGCAGAAGACAAAACAAGGGGACGTGGGTGAAAAGTTATGCTTAGCATCTCCCCTCTCTCCCTCTGCGTCTGCAGGGGGAGAAATTAATCTTCTCCCCCCTCTGCGGCACTGTTGGGACCCCGCTCAAACACACCCATGTGTGCCCTCCCCCGGACCTTTTTTTTAACGATCATCAAACTGCAGAGCCTCGTGTTTCAACTTGTAACGCAGTAATTGCCCGTGGAGTCGTCCATCTGCAGGGGAACAGGTAGTTGGCCCGTGTCTCTTTGCTGCGCGTCGCCCCACCCACCAGCAGCTCCGGTCCTCCTGTGTAACCCCTGATTGGCTGCGGGGATTGCGGGTCGGAGACTGAGCGCTCGCCTCGGAGCTGCGCGTCCTCCAGTGTGGACCAGTGCAGCGAGAAGAGCGCACGTTGGAGTCAACTACACAGACAGCGAGTGGAGATTTCTGTTTTTACCCAGGCTGGATACAGGCTCCTTCTGCTCTGCTGCAGCCCATCGTGGGAGCCCATCGTTTTGTACATACACAGAGGCTCCTGCATCGTTTTCTTCCTGCTGGCTTTTTGGCAACATTTGCATTGGATTTTTTTTTTTTGTGCGTGTTGCATGGACTAATTACCAGGATGTGTGCTGCCTTTTCCAAGTGAGATACGAGGAAATTAATTAGTAAGTAAAAGCTTCAAGACTAAATCTACTGGAGATAAAAAGGTAATCGGGACTTCAGTGATTTTCACCAGATATTCCTGCAGTTGCAGACCTCTTCTTTTACGCAGAAATATCCGGACTTGAGCTGTTGAATAATTTTGTGACTGCAGAGCCTTTTAGATCTCTTTTTTCTCCTCACATCAGATGTGCCGATTGAAAGCCTATAGCTGCCGTCCGAGGAGGAGATTTCCCCACAGTCTGTGAAAAATACGCACAGAGTAAGATGTTCATCCAAAATGCGACTTAAATATCTGCTGGCACGAAGGCGGAGAATTTAACAAGGACTTTCTAACCCCATCACTACATCTGCAGAGAAGATTGAATTTTTTTGTTGTATGTGTGGACTTGCAGACATTTTCCTTTTTGCGTTCATGCAGTTAGATTGAATTCCCCCTCATTTTCAGGCCACTTGAAAATGGACAGTTCTTCACACGAGTCGTGCATGATAAGAGTTGCTCGGATTTACACGGTGAAATCAGTGTTGTGAGAAGATTCAGCATGTTTTCACACATCCGTCGTCCCCAATGTTTCGTCCGCTGCAGTAGACCGGAGGATGTGCTCTGCCTGAGAAGAGTGAAATAGGCTGAGGCACTTGTTAGAATTATAGCTTCCACATCATGATTTAATTTGCGCACACGAGAGACATTCGTCACCCAAACACTTCTGAGGACGTTTCAATGAGATGATTCACTTGGAACATTTTTGCTGTTTTCTCTGACGAGCCTTCTTTGTGCGTAATTATCAAGGTTTTTTTTTTTATTAGGAAGAGAGAGAAAAAAAGATCAACAGGTACAATGCAAACCAAGGAGATGGATTTAATTCAATTAATCGCCGTGTTCGTTTTACTTTGGGTCGGGGCTGAGGCGGTCATCAACCTGAAGTATGGAATAAACGAGGAGATGAAGCCCGGGTCAGTGATTGGAAACGTGACAAAGGACGCGCTAAAGCAAGGATTTCAGATTGCACCGCAGCCCCCATACTTGAGGGTGATTTCCAATTCAGAGCCGCGATGGGTGGAACTGAGTCCAGCCGGAATCCTTACAACCCAAATGAAAATAGACCGGGATGTAGTTTGTCGACAGAACCCAAAGTGTATTATTTCCCTAGAAGTGATGTCAAACTCTATGGAGATCTGTGTCATCAAAGTTGAAATTGAGGATTTGAACGATAACGCGCCCAGATTCCCAACGAGCCACATTGACATTGAGATTTCTGAGAATGCCTCCCCTGGTACGAGGTTTCCCCTAGAGGGGGCAAGTGATCCGGACTCGGGGATCTTTGGAGTGCAATCATATTCCATCACCCCAAATGAGCTATTCGGACTGGAAATAAAGACCAGAGGGGATGGGTCCAAAATAGCTGAGCTTGTGGTGCAGAAATCATTAGACAGGGAGACACAGTCACACTACCAGTATGAAATCAGCGCAGAAGATGGAGGAGACCCTCCTAAGATAGGCGCGGTCCAGTTAAATATCAAGGTAATTGATTCTAATGACAACAACCCCGTTTTTGACGAGCCAGTGTATACTGTTAATGTGATGGAGAATTCCCCTATCAATACATTAGTCATAGACTTGAACGCAACGGATCCTGACGAGGGCACTAATGGAGAGATTGTGTACTCCTTCAACAGTTATGTCACAGAGAAAACGAGAGATGCTTTTAAAATTGACCCCAGAACTGGGATCATCACTGTCAACGGTGTTTTGGATTATGAGACGACGCAAATATACGAGATCGACATCCAGGCCAAAGATTTAGGTCCCAACTCTATCCCAGCTCACTGCAAAGTCACAGTGAATGTGATGGATACGAACGATAACCCACCTGTCATCAGTTTACTCTCACTGAACACTGAGATGGTGGAAGTTAGTGAGAATGCACAGCGTGGATATGTCATTGCGCTGGTGAGGGTGTCAGATAAGGATTCTGGGGCAAATGGAAAAGTGCAGTGCAGGCTTCAGGGCAATGTTCCGTTCAGACTGCAAGAATATGAAAGCTTCTCCACTATACTGGTCGATGGCAGGCTGGACAGAGAGCAAAAGGACACATACAACCTGACCATCCAAGCCGAGGACAGTGGCAGCCCTCCTTTACGCGCCACAAAATCCCTAGTAGTCAAAGTCACAGATGAAAATGACAACCCTCCCCACTTCCTCAAGCCTCACTATCAGGAGATGGTGATGGAAAACAACCTCCCTGGTTCATGTCTGCTCGCAGTATCAGCAGAAGACCCGGACCTGGGGATGAATGGCACAGTTTCATATTCCATAGTCCCTGGTGAGATTAAGCACATGGATGTAAACACATATGTCAGCATAAACCCATCAGGCCGCATTTACTCCATGAGATCGTTCGACCATGAATACACCAGGACTTTTGATTTCAAAGTTTTGGCCAGGGACAATGGTAACCCCTCTTTGTCAAGTAATGCCACGGTGCGTATTGTGGTGCTTGATGTCAACGACAACACACCTGTGATGACAAACCCCCCTCTGGTTAATGGCACAGCGGAGGTCTCCATCCCCAGAAATGCTGGGGTGGGTTACATGGTGACCCAGGTGAAAGCAGATGACTACGATGAGGGGGAGAACGGGCGGCTGACCTACACCATCTCGGAGGGGGACCGGGCTTTCTTTGAAATTGACCAGGTGAACGGGGAGGTGCGCTCCACCAGGATGTTTGGGGAAAATGCCAAGTCCACCTACGAGATCACAGTGGTGGCGAGGGACCACGGCAAGCCCTCCCTCTCCGCCTCGGCCTACATCGTGGTGTACCTCTCGCCAGACCTGAATGCGCAGGAGCCTATTGGACCAGTCAACCTGTCCCTCATCTTCATCATCGCTCTGGGCTCCATCGCTGCCATCCTGTTTGTCACTATGATTTTTGTGGCAGTGAAGTGCAAGCGGGATAACAAGGAGATCCGGACGTACAACTGCAGGTACTGACCGAATCTCTTATGTGTGTGTGAGTGAGAGACTAAACGAGAGAGATAGACGGTGGTGTGTGTGACCGTGATCGTGTGTAAAACTGTGGGGTGAAGTGCATTGCTTTTTGTCATGCAGCATGTAGAGGCCCGACTGTGAGGACTGCAGATTTTTTTTCCGTCAGCTGAAAGTGAAACAGACCTAAATAAACCCTTCAGCTTTAAATCAGACACATTCTGTTGAGGCCCACTGTTCCGTGTTAGGCAAACGTGATTGATTGATTTAATCCTTCCATTGTAACCAATTGACTCATAAATATGACGGTTCAACTGTCATGTTCAATTTGCTGGTGTGTTGCCGGACAATTAACGTCCCACTGGTTCAATAGCAGTCCTAGACATTTATTATTTTACGTCCACCATGGCTGATTGCCTGTTATCAGCTTTAATCTAGTGTGATCATGGACAATCATCTGGGATCATTCACATCTACCTCTGTTTTAGAACAATAAGATTACAATAAGATGTTATAATATTGATGACAAAAGTAATAATCCCATTTTTTTGTTTTATAAAATCATGTAAGGTCACAACACAGTCATTTACTATTTAGCCTTTTTTTGCAGATTATTATAATCCCAGACCTTTGCACGTCTGTTTTGTTCATCAATCTGAACATCAGCTCTGGCTTTGATTTCCCTCTGCCACATTACCACTATAAATTTACATATAGATTGGATTTGAGATTTAACCTGAAGCTATAATCATATTTTGCTCCAGACCTAATTTTGTTGATTTGAAGTTAAGTTGGGCTATTTTTCAACGTATAGTGATTAAAAA